ATTGTATCACAAACAATTTTAAAAGTCTTGATAAAACGCAAACCATTAGGAAGCAACTGAGAAGGGGTTATATTTAGGGTTTTGAGAAGATCATACTCAAAATCGATAAATGGAATGCGGATTTTAAAGTCCTCGATTACTCTTGAATAGAAATAGAAATACTCCTTTAATACCCCTTTAGGCAAGGTGATGCAGACTCTCTCACCAACTACGTAAGGTTCTAGTATAACATCGTCATTCCCATTTGAAGAGATTAAGGAATTGGAAGCTTTGAGATGTGACTTTCGTCAATGATACTATGATCATAACTTAGGACTTTTTTGTCTATCAAAAATCATGTTGCTTCCATCTGAGTATCCAAAAAACATGAGGATAAAGACTCTGAATTAGTGTTACTAATAGGTGAAGGGATTTCACCATAGAATTGTCTAATAATCCGGTCGAAATCTACTCTACTCAAATAGCCCTCACACTCTCGTATAAAGGAATTATGAATCCTATTTCTATCACTAACAGTAAGAAAAAATTGAACATTCCTTTGAGTAACTATTGTTTTGAAATGAAGACATAATAAAAAGAACGAAAAAAGTAAAAAGAAAGTGATATCTCGAGCTTGAAAAAACAAGTGATAGATGAAGGAAAAACCAGTTTGTAAATGCTTTGGAAGAAGATCGCTTGGAAAGTAGAGATGCCCATATGAAAAACTAAGTCTTTTAAAGCAACAAGGTTTGTAACATTCAAGAATTTCTATCAAAAAAGGGTAATTATGAAAAGTGGAAATTGCCATAAAAATCATCATCATGGGGAGAAAGAAAGACTCATCATCATTAAATGGCCAACACTCGTCGCGTAATAGACCAATTTAGAGAGAGGAGAATTTCAAGATTGTCTTGTTCGAACACTTCAACCCAATAAGACCTCGTGATTTGGGGGCTTATGTACATCCCAAAACTCTCTAAAGTCGAGTTAGTGAAAAAGCCAAGTATGAAAAGGCAAGTAGGTCGGATGATCATACTCATACATACAAGCCAGAATTTGATTTGAAGTACTAAAAGAAGTAAGTCGAGGTCGACTTCATGCATACAAGTCAGATTTGATGTCAATGTTAGGATATCATATGAAGAGTCAGAAGAGATAGTTACATAATGTTCCATAATTGTGTGATTTACGTATATTGATAAGAAAGAAGTTACTTGAAAATTATAGGGGCGACAGATGTTATCTAAGGTTGCCTTTATGAGGGATATGAAGAGGAAAACGTTAAGGGATCATGGATGAATTGAGCCATATAAAGGGGAAAACGTTAAGGGGTCTTAGATGAGTCGAGTCATATAAATAAGACATTTCCTGAATGAAGGAGGGAAACAAGAATCATTTGAGAAAATACATAAACAGACACTTAAACAAATCATTTTAGACTCTTCTTGGTTGATAACAAGGAAGTCAACCTTTTGGTGTTTTTTAACAAGAACAAATGGCTTTAGTGTGTATGTGTTTGCGCGTGCATTATATTAGTACTTTTGGAGCTAATCACTCTAGATATTACATAGGATCCTATAAAATAGAAAAACATATAAAACAAGGATCTATGGCGAGCTTTATTCATTTAATTTTGTGTTTTTGTGAAAATCTATAGCTTTTGATTATCTTTTCCCTGATCAGCAAAAAATTTCTCGCTTTTTTAGTTGAATGACATTTCTTCCTTTACTTTCTTTTGCATCATCAAAACCAAGATTATCTTTACATAACATAGAACTACATCCACCACCTAAATCACAACGCATATACTTTATAACAATATTATGTTAAACCTTAACCATTGCATGAAACATATGATACATGTCAGCAACATTCAGAATGGTTTTTCATAAGGTAAACCCACCATAACAATTATACACATCAATAAACAAAACATAATATTTAGATCCACCTTTGGTAGAAACTGATGATGGACCTCACACATCAAAGTGAACTAAGTTAAGGAATGCAAGTTTACAACCACAACAATCTAAAATATCACTTATTTATAACTTTCCTAAAGCTCCAATAAAAGTCAAGTCCTTTAATCTAAAAGAAGATATGTGTCCTAGGCAAGAATACCTCAAATAAAAATTAGGAGACAGAGAATTCAAATGAAAAGAAGCTAGTAAATTAATAATGGAAGTGGAAGTTGAGACTCAAGAAAAATCACGATAAACGTAACACATAAAATAAAATAAAATTTCCCTATGATGAATCCTTATGAATGGTCATGAGTCATGGATCATTTGATTACCTCTTGTAATGCAACACATTTAATCATTGAAACAAATTGATCACCATTATAACACGAACGACAACGCCTTTACTCAATCTACGCGAACAACATATGCAACAAATTATTCCTCCGCCTACGGTGCTAGCTATCAATGAATGGAAGTAATAGCGAGAACATGAACTCGAAAACCTAGTTCAGTTAAGTTTTTTAGAATACATGAATAAGTGATTGTCATTTTAGTATAAGGGTTCTGTTTATATAACCACTTATACACATTGTAGCCTGTAGTGTACCATATTTCTCTAATTAGTGCTAATGCATCTTTAAAATGCATGACTAAATTATAAATGAATATCATTCTTTATTTAATCTCTCATTTATCTGTCCTTGTGTGTATGACCTTATAAGTTCTCAAAATATTATGAATAATATTAAATCGCTTGTTTAATATTATAAATATTGAGATGTGTCTAACAATAAATAACTATGACCCTAATGACAAAAATGTCATGTGATGTGACATAACCTTTATATGATAATGATCATGTGTACGATTATGTTTTTGTCCTTATATCTATATTGAAAATAAGACATAGTTTATGTCACCCAGGTATAGAAATTATTATATTTCTTGATACTCGAGTATACTTAGTAACAATAAATAAACTCAGTATCTCATTTTGACTTATTTCAACATATATAGATATTGATCAAGGGGCTTGTAGATATTGTTCATGCATTTGTAGAATGGATAATTCTCATATAGGTCATCAATATAAGTAGGATGTAAAAGAAAATTAAGATGCAATGCAAGGGTTATTAGAAGTATAATTTAATTTTTGTACATTGTTGTTAGTAACAGTTTAAAAGTGTTGTAATTTCAACACAAGCAAACTGTCGCAACTTAGTTGTTATGGTTAGTTAAATTTATTATGACCATTACAACAACTAGAGGTTGGAAAATATATCAACTAGATGTGAAGTCGGCCTTTATCAATGAACCATATGAAGAAGAGGTCTATGTCAAGAAGCCACGGGGTTTTTAGGTAAAACACCAAGAAGAAATGGTATGCAGGCTTAGAAAGGCAGTGTATGGATTGAAGTTATGTCTCTATGTAGATGATTTATTAGTAACATAAAATATAATAACTCATTCTCCATATCGAGTATACTTAGAAAGGCAGTGTATGGACTGAAGTTATGTCTCCGCGAGAATGAGTTTGAGATGTCATACTAGGTTATTTGGCATCTTTACTAGGAATAGAGATTATGAACACAAAGCATGAAGTTTTTCATCAAAAGAAATAAGTAAAACACATTTTGAAAAAATTCACTATGAGTATTTGCAATTCTGCAATTACACCAATGAAAATGAACATCAAATTAAAGAAGGAATTAGATGATGTGTTGGTAGATAGCACTTTGTAGATCATTGGCTCATTATGTTGTTTGCTAATATATTGAAATGTTATTTGAGGAGTTGAATGTAAGTGACATTGTGAAGATCACATTGCTAGTGAACAACAAATCAGCTATTTGGTCTAGCAAATCATCCAATAAGCCAACAAGCAAATAAAGAGGCATTATTTTCTAAGGAATCAAATTGATAAGAAAAGTTGAAAAATTAATATTACAATATTGAATTGCGACTAGGAGATATTTTAATCAAACTCTAGAAGCAAACAAAGGTTTAAAAGACTTCAAAGAATCAATGTAAATGAGCAGCTTAAAAAATATGAATTACGAAGAATATTGAAAGTATATTTCACTTTTTGTACATTACTAATGGTAACAGTTTGAAAGTGTTCCAAGTCACACTTGCAACACAAGCAAATTGTTACAACTTAAAAATTATGGTTAGTTAAGTTTGTCATGACTTCTCTAAATGTATAAATACATTTCCTCTGTTGTACTTGCAATTCATTCAATAATCATACACCTCTTCGAAATTTACTTTGATCTCACTTTAATTCCTCAATTTGTAAAATAACTTAAAGTAGTTACCAACAGAGGCGTGCTAGGACGTTCTATATTATGTGGTGCCAAGTGCTAGGATAAATAAATAGTGTGGGATGTTTGAATCGATCCGAAAAGACCGAGTAAAATGTTGTAGTAAATTGTTAGTCGTCAAAACATAGTCTCTAAGGGACAGTTGATAGGAAATTAGGAATTATGGAGTGCCCAATTAGTATTATGAGATGCCAGCGGCTTAATTCTTCCTCTAGTAGTTTCTAAAAGATGATTATTCAGGTGCTTATATAAATGTCACTCTCAAAATAAAATATAAGGTAGAATTTCGGGTACAAAGTAATAAAGGCCACATCATTCTGCCGGATGAAACTGAAATCAAGTAGAGCCAATGGTCTCTTCTTGTCTGCACTATTACCAGCAGATTAAAAAGGACATACCAATAGGAAAATGACTCGGAATATTACCTAAAAAAAACTTATCCACTTTACAGAAAAGATAACATCAGTAGAAAAGATAACACATGTAAGATAACAGACCGTTTAACATCAAAAACATGGACCACAAACACAAAGATCAATTCATGCAGAATAAATCATTAAATGATAATAATAACAAGGTGAAGAAGCTACAGGATCCAAAATGTCCCTATATTAACCCACCCACCCACCACCACCATGCAATCCATTGCCTAGCTAACTCAATCAATTTTATTCTCTTTGCCTAGCTAGTTTCTCTTTCCAAGTCCCCATACTAAAACCAGCCATAGAAGTTCATGGCAGCTAATCCTAATAGACTCTCTCTTGCCATGGAGAGAACTGGCCAATGGTACACAACACCCTATACTCCACTCTTTTCCATTTTCAAACTTATGCATGCATCATGCATAGCCGCATCTTACACATGCTTACTCTCTAATTAATCTAATTTAACCTCTATTATCATATTGACTATATTTCTGTTTGGAACTTTGATTACTATTGCAGGGTTTTCTCTCAAGATATCCCAACTGATGTTATAGTTGAAGTTGGAGAAGCTCGTTTCTGCCTCCACAAGGTATCCAAAAAATGACCTATGTGAATGATTGTTCATAACTTAATAAGTGCTTATTTCTTTCAGTGCATGTTTATGGTAAAATTTTAATAAAAGTTTTTTAATATTGTTGCAGTTTATGCTGGTGGCAAAGAGCAACTACATCAGAAAACTAATTTTGGAATCAGATGAAAGTGAGCTCACCAGAATCGACCTCTCTGATATACCAGGAGGACCAGGAATCTTTGAGAAAGCAGCAAAGTTCTGTTATGGTGTCAACTTCGAGATAACAGTTCATAACGTTGCGGTTTTGCGCTGTGCTGCTGAGTTCCTTCAAATGACTGACCAGTATTGTGACAATAACCTCGCCGGCCGGACAGATGAATTTCTATCTAAGGTTGCCTTCTTCACTCTCACAGGCTCTGTTGCCGTTTTGAAGTCCTGCCAACATCTTCTCCCCTATGCCGATGACATTGATATAGTTAAACGCTGCATTGAAGCCACCAGCGCCAAGGCTTGCAGTGAGGCAAATTTCCCAAGCCGCTCCCCGCCGAACTGGTGGACCGAGGAACTAGCCGTTCTCGATATCAAAATCTTCGGGAGAGCCATCACTGGTATGAAGCAGCGCGGAGCCAAGCCTCCAACCATTGCAAGCGCACTGATTACCTACACGGAGCGATGGCTCCAAGAGCTAGTCCGGAATCACTCTGGCAACGGAATCCAATCTTCAGGTTATGACGATTCAGACTCCAGATCAAGACAACGCGAGCTTCTGGAGTCAATTGTTGATTTCTTTCCCTCCCATAAAACGGCTTTCCCGGTCAACTTCCTATGTTGCCTCCTCCGTTGCGCAATCCACCTCCGCGCCTCCACCGTCTGTAAAACCGAACTCGAGAAGCGAATCTCTGTAATCCTCGAGCATGTAACAGTTGACGACCTCCTCGTGATGTCGCTCTCATACGACGGTGAGAAACTCTTCGATCTGGAAAGCGTTCGCAGAATCGTATCTGCATTCATGGAGAAGCAGAAGAGCACGGCAGTTTTTACACCAGTAGACCTCAGAGAATCTTGCTCCGGCACTATGCATCGCGTTGCCAAAACCGTAGACATGTACCTCGCCGAGATCGCCGCGTACGGCGAACTCAGCATCTCAAAATTCAACGGAATCGCCATTCTTATTCCTAAACACGCTCGTAAAGTCGACGATGACCTATACCGCGCCGTGGATATCTATCTCAAGGTAAAAACACAGTTTAACGAAAAAGAAATTCGAATATCATAAAACTCAATGTTCAATTCATTGACATAAACGATACCGTTTTAACGAGTTAGTTTGTTATTGCAGGCTCACCCGAAGCTAGATGAGATAGAAAGAGAAAAAGTATGCAGCGTAATGGATCCGTTAAAGCTTTCTTACGAAGCGCGTGTGCATGCGTCACAAAACAAGAGACTACCGGTGCAGATTGTATTACACGCGCTGTACTACGACCAGTTACGGTTGAGGAGTGGACCCGACAACGAAGACACCGCCGCGATGGAGAGAACCCGGTTACAGACGGATGTTTCGTTGGTGAGGGAGAATGAGGAGTTGCGATCGGAGCTGACGAAGATGAAGATGTACATTACGGATATGCAGCAGAAGAACGCTTCTCAGGTGCATGGAACGACGTCGTCACATTCGAGTAAGAAGACAACGTTTTTCTCGTCTGTGTCGAAGAAGCTGGGAAAATTGAACCCGTTCAAAAATGGGGCTAAGGATACGACCCATTTAGAAGATGGGGCTGTGGATTTGACAAAGCCCAGAAGAAGAAGGTTCTCTATTTCTTAAATGGGCCTGTAAAAGTTCTACACACTCTAGTTTATTCATGCTTGGCTTTGGGTGGAGTTTTACTTGTTAGCTTTTTGATGAATGCTTTTTCTCATTTTGATGATATAATTTTGTAAATTATGTTGTATGATATTCGTTGAATATTCATATATATCATGGTTCATGTCAATATTAATGAAAAGTTATGCAATGTTCTAGATTTGATTAATGCAACGTCATTGTTTTTATTTATGGTAAATATCTTTGTTGTACATTCGCTCGGTACAATATTTGATAACTCTATTCGAGTTAAGTTATTTAAAGTTGTAATACAATATCAGTGTTATGAAAAGTATTCATCTTTTAAACTTGATGATTATTGGTTTTATATAAGACTTTCTCTTTTCAAAAGAGTGTATGACTGATTTATTTGAGGTTGTCTTTCAAGGATATGTAATGGCTTAGATACTCCAGATGCATATATAGAGGATATTAATTAGATATAAGATGTAATCACCCTTGGACTGACATATTCGCTCTAGACATTAGAAGTGATTCGGCCTAACCCTTTTTTGTGAATGAAACAGGTCAGACGGTTACAATATGTTTGGGATAGGATTTGGCCGAGATGTTTTAGGTGAAAGACCGGAATGTACATATGGGTTTAATTTTAATTATTACTGATTGCCTAAGGATTCACACAAAAGTCAAATTATCATTAACTCTACATCTCTAGGTTACTAGCATTAAGTATAGTTACCTTCTTGTCTGTAACTCACGCCTTTAAGTAAGCATTGCCTCTTTCTATTCCAAGTTAATTCATATTTTTCATTTACACATAATTCATAAGCACTATCTATTCAACTCTCTTTCATTTTCTTCACCCACTAGTCATTGTAGGTAACGTCTCGATTCCCTTAAATTCCTTTTTATTGTTAGTTATGGTTTTTAATTATGAGTTAGACACGTTTGGGACATCCATAGAATCCTAAACAATTTCGGAGACGACTTATTTTAGGAATCGGAGCTTGAAAGCTTTGAAAGATATAAATTGTACTAAGAACTAGGAAGTGTTTATCTTATAACCAAAAAGAGATATGTGGTTGGAATAATCATGTGAATGGTATACTTATTAATGTGAATTGTAGCAATGGCTTTAAATGGCATGGGATGGAAAGCCTTTAAGATTGTTTTGGACCTGCCAAATGGTCGAATAAGACTGGCTCAATTCCAATATCCAATCCAAAGTTTTTGTTGTTCAAGATTGTCGAACATGTATACCTTCACTAAGGAGTCGTGCATTAGATCAAGATACCACGCTCATCTTATTCATTGAAGTCAATTCAACGATCTCTTGTATTCTACATTGCACTCGCTAGGGGATGTTCTAATTGTTGACCATATATAAGCATGATTTCACGTCATACAAAGGTATAATTCATTTTATTCTTGCAATTTATACATCTTTGTCCTCAGTGGCCTGAGCGTTGGAGTTTTAACCTTGCAAGTACATCCACTCTCTGCCTACTAGAGACTCTAAGCACCGTATCGGATAGCTTTCACTGTAGACATCATCAGCATATGACTTATTTTCTGTTTCACATGGGAATAATGGCGTCGTAAGTGGGAATCATTTCTTTATTGTCACAAATTTCAACGTCAAATTTCTATGATCTCCTTTGTTGTGATGCCAGAACTGTTCCTGTTAACTAATGTGATCACCCTAAAATTTCATAATCGTCATTAATGGTAGATTTTTAATCAACTAGGTCAATCGTTCATCATAGCACCACAACACCAACTTGAGCTTCTTCTACTTCATCCCCTCTCGTTATCTTATCCATGACAAGAGGATTATCCTTCTTGTCGTGGGATCAGAAATAAAGGGCAAGGAAGGGAAATTAAAAAACCATAGATCGGTTACAAGGTTCAAAGACAACGAAAATATGGGTGTTATCCCTAATGAAGTACTTCCATTGACAATGATGACCATAATAGCCTATCACAAAGTAACGAGATTCCTGATGGATTGAGGAAGCTCTTACAGCGTCATGTATGTTAGTCTCCTCTAAGAATTGGGACTAAAAAGGGGGAGATTGTTGCTCTGCGCAAGTGTAACACCATAAACCCTAAGCACTTAATTTATAAAAATATTGGAAATAATTACTCAAAAAAGGTCACATTTTCTCAACATAAAACAACTTTATCAAACATCATGTTATAGCAGTGGAAGTAAACTTCAACATATTTTTCAATTTGTCTCATAAAAAGATAATCACTTTATTTAATTATAAAATATTTAATCAGACAAACTCAACCACTCGTAAAAAACCATAATCAAATAATCTAAACCCAATGTTACATTATCAAAGCGACGGGAGGAAACTAAACAACGCAAAACAATAAGCCATAAAGAAGGCCAACTATGGCATCCTTCAACACAAGCAACAACTAAGGCTCTCCTACCCAAGTATCTGCATCACATGCGTAAATATAACACAAGAAACAAACAAGGGTGAGAATACATTCATAAATGTTAATGATATATAAAACAATGAGGATGGCTTAAACATATTATTCATCAATCACATAGATCATTCATAATAATAGTCAACCATAAATGTGGTTATGTATGCAATGTATTCATCTTCTCTTCTCTAATGCATATGGTTCTAAGTTTTGGATATCAGAGTTATGTTACTGATTAATCCATCCACCGATGGTTCCTCTCTGAACCAAAACTCATCCCAGGTCCCCACTTATGAATCTATAACTCGTCATTGGACCGTAATTTCAGACTCGTCATTGGTTCCCACTTCTAAACCAGAAACTCGTTACTGGATAGAAGTTCGTACTCCTATATTCGATATACTTGATGCATGAATGCGACAAACAATACAAATGTAATACTCATCTCAACCTCCAACTCTGACACTGGTCTTAGATTCCTCTCTAAACCTAATAATCGTCATTAGACCGAAGTCTCAAACTCATCATTGATCCCCTCTTTGAACCTGTAACTCATCACTGGACCGAACACCATACATCGCCAATACAAGGTTACAATGAATGGTTCCTCTTTGAACCAATCACCTCGACATAATTCAACAAAATATATAAACATCGCTAGTATGATGTCACAATAGTATTTCCTCTCTGAACCACACATCTCAACATAACTAAAAAAATTCCTTTTCATGAGGCACCTAACATAAACTCACCATAATAATATAATTTTTATAATTTCTCAACAATGCTCACCAACAAGGTAAAAAGAATATCGTCAACAATCAACAAGTATTACTCAAAATTCAACAGAGCTTATAATTAACTCTATCACTTTTTTTATTCTTCAGAGATTAAGAGTCATAAGGCCAACTCTAACCTTATCTCCTTTACTCCTCGACTCAACTATGAGCATGTCAGATGATTCTAAAACTTAAGTCATTTCACCTACACAACTCTAAACATATCAAACTCGACTCGTTAGATTTATACAACTCTAAACATATCAAACTCAACTCTAACACATCACATAACTAAAAAGTCAACCTTCTTAATTTAACTTGACTCTAAGACATGTCAAACTCAACTCTAACACATCAAATAACTCAAATTAAAGTTATTTATAAATATATTCAATTCCTTACCTTGCTAAAGGATTTCCCAACACTCTGGAGTTAACTCTAAAATTATCTCGCTTCACAATAGCACATAATATTATAGACTTGTGATAAAAATTATGAAAATTTCCACTTTAAAATTTATTTAAACCCTCTTTAAAACACAGTTTATTTAATCTCGATTGAAGTTACGAAACTCCAATTCTGTTCATTTCAATTCAACCACATCACAATATTTCCTACATAAACTCTAAAACAAAATGTCTGACTTCAAAATAGTACAAAAAATCTATAGACTTATGATAAATTTATGAAACTCTCCATTTAAAATTTCATTAAACCTTCTTTTAACGCAACGGAATGCACCTCAATCGGACTTACAAAACTCAAGTTACGCGTGAAACAAGATGACAAACGCATAACTGAAATTTGATTACGAATCTAGTATAAAAACCAGAAAATTGATGTTTTTTTTATCACTTCTAAACTCAATCTCCCTATTTCAAAAGAAATATTATTGTGTTAATTTTCTAACGCAATTGACGACACGTCAAACGGACTTACGAAACTCAAGTTACACATAAAACAAGACGGTCAACCCCCTTTTATGTCTACATGCGATTTTCTATATTTTTCTGATAAATTTTCACGGGAATTTCACCCCTAAACTCAACTCCTTCAATCTAGACTTATCCCAATTCAACTTTGAACATGAATGATCACACGTGTTCATCTATATACAAGTTACAACTCATAGTACTCAAATCAAAAGATTGGTTCAACATGCTATCATCATCACAGTTCACTAAACTCATTCAAAATTTGAGAACATCATAATTTGTGAATTTCACACATCAAATCACACAAATTTCATCAATAAACACAAGGCACGAAATTGAATCAAACAATAACGACCCAAATATGAACAAACCCCCCTCTCAAATTAGTAACAAATGTTGAAACTATTGACAATAGAAACTCTTTTCTCTCCTAACTCTTGCTCTGCTAGGATTCTCTCTCTCTCTCTCTCTCTCTCTCTCTCTCTCTCTCTCTCTCTCTCTCTCTCTCTCTCTCTCTCTCTCTCTCTCTCTCTCTCTCTCTCTCTATATATATATATATATATATATATATATATATATATATATATATATATATATATATAATATATATATATATATATATATATATATATATATATATATATATATATATATATATATATATATATATATATATATATATATATATATATATATATATATATATATATATATATATATATTATATATATATATATATATATATATATATATATATATATATATATATATATATATATGTGTGTGTGTGTGTGTGTGTGTGTGTGTATATATATATATATATATACACATATATATA